CTTTTCTCAAATTGTAGGAGTTCTATTTTGTATTATTTGTATTAGTAATAATTAAGCATTGGATTTATGTTTCATATCAAATGTTTGCTTGTTGTTTTTGCATGGGTTCTTACTATGTTTACCCAGGTTGGTCCTGAATTCTTGGGCTTAAGCAGTCCTCTGACTCTGAATCCCAAATAGCTGGCCCTACATGTATGCAGTTAGGCCAGTGTTTGAGAATTTACAGTGGTTCATCTTAGATTTATGTTAAAATAATCTGTTTCTCCTAGTTTTTAAATCCTCATTATAAGACCAAACTGGTGGTGCATGTTTGTTCACAGCACTTGTGATGAGGCAGGAGATACGTTTGCGATCTCATTCTTTACTCAAGAGAGGGTGTATAAAGTGTTTATGCCAAGTAGGGGAAAATTTTTTAAGAGTTTAACAAAGTTCAGGGAATTGGCTTCATTCTGCAGCTTCACTTCTCACATTTAGCCTCTGATTCTTTGAGAGTTTTTGTTTGTTTCTTTGTTTTGCTTTTGGCAGTACTGGAGTTCCACCAGCTCTCTTTGAGAGTTTTAATACTACATTTAAGATAATATACTAATAATTACCTTTTTTTTTTTACTGCTGCTGTATCAAATTACCAGAAATTTAGCATCCTAAAATAACACAAATTTATTATCTCATAGTTAGATGGGAAGTACATGTGATCTATGCTGGTTTCTCTGTTACAGGTATCAAGGCTGAAATCTCAGACCTCTGTCATACTTGTTCTGTATCTTTGCTTTTAAGGGCTCTGTGATTAGAATGGACTGACTAGGACAGTCTTCCTGTTTTTAAAATCTGTTACCTAATTATATCTTCAAAGTCCCTTTGCCATGTACTGGAACATTTTTTCAGACTCCAGGGATTAAGGTACTGACATTCTCCATTCTGTCTAACACACTAGTATGTTTCAAGGGGTAGAAATTTAGATAAATTAGAAGAGGATTAAAAAAAAGTTGCTTTGTTAATGGTACAGATTGAGCATTCCTAATTCAAAACTCTGAGATTCAAACTTTTTGAGCATATGTCATGGCTCAAAAAGTTTTGGATTGCTGCTGGGCACTGGTGGTTCATGCCTGGCTGAGGTCAGGAGGATTGAAGTTTGAGGCCAACCTGGGCAAGTAATTTGACAGACTCCATCTTCAAAATAATCAGAGCAAGACTGGAGGTGTGGGTTAAGCAGTAGGCTGCCTGCTTTGCAAGTGCCTTGCCCTGAGTTCAAATCCCAGTCACACCAAAAAAAAAGTTTGGATTTTGGCTCGTCATGGACTGTATGCTAGTAATCCTAGCATTTAGGAGACTGAGACAGGAGAATTGTGAATCCAAAGCCTATAGCAAGACCCTGTTCCAAATTTTTTTCTTTTTTTTTTTTTTTTTTGATTTCAGAGGATTTTGCATTTTAGATTTCAAATTAGGGATACTCATCTAGTGAATTCTATGTAAATATTCCAAAATCTGAACGTCTCTGAAATCTGCAACACTTCTGTTACCAAGCATTTTGGTTAAGGGATATCCAACTGGTTCGTTGTAATAAGACTACCATTAAAAATTCTCTATAACCTTAACTCTTTGTTTCTTAATATTTTGTGACTACCTTGAAGCTGTAGACTAAGTGGTTATTGATATGTCAGTATGTGTTCAATATCTAAAGTTTTGGCCTAGTCATAGTCTTGCCACTTTTCCTGTTTTAGGGAAAAAAGCTCGCACATTTGACTTGGAAGCGATGTTTGAGCAAACTCGAAGAACAGCTGTGGAAAGAAGTCGGAAAACACTGGGTAAGAAGTTCAGATAGTTTCCCTTTTAAGTACTGTATAATGTTACGCAAGTATGTTGACAGTAAAAAGCCAGGAAAAAGTTTTCCAAAATTGTTAAAAGAACATATGTGCTAGTTTCTTCACAGAAGCAGAACTTGAAGCATCTTTTAAAAAATGTATTTAAATAGAATACTACATACTAAAATCTTAAAAGTATGTTCGGGGAAGAAACATGTTCTTAGTTAATTTATAGAGTCAGAGTAGCAGTTTCTTTATTATCACTCCTCCTGCCTCTATCATTTCATTTTTTTTTCTTTCCTGCTTACAGTGAATCAGTATTTGGAAGGCTGGGCCAGAGGTGGTTCTCAGATATGTATATACAACCACCTGTTGACCCCAGACAGTGAAGAAAATTGAGACATACAGTTAATGTGGCTGCTGCTGTTGAGTCCCTGCTTTAATGAGTTGTATCAGACGTTTAATGAAGGTCTTTATTTCCACACTGTTTTGATAGCAGATGGTTGGCAGTTCTAATTTGGATTATTTATTTATTTATTTTTTGGTGGTAATGGGGGGTTGAACTCAGGGTGTCACAGTCACACTTGCTCACTAGGGGCCCTACCACTTGAGCCCCTCTGCCAGCTGTTTTTTGCTTTTTTTTTTTGTTTTTTGCAGTACTGGGGCTTAAACTCAGGGCCTTCACCTTGAGCCACTCCGCCAGTCCTTTTTGTATGGGTATTTTTGAGATAGAGTCTTACAAACTATTTGCCCAGGTTGGCGTCAAACCTCTTTCCTCCTGATCTCTGCCTCCTAAGTAGTTAGGATTATGGCATGAGCCACCAGTGCCTGGTGCTTTGGTTATTGTTTAAATAAGGTCTTCCTTTATGCTCAGGCTAGCCTGGGCTGTGATCTTCCTGTTCCTTTGTGCTTCCTTTCATAGCTGGAATAATAGGCTCATGACACTATGCCCAGATGTTGGTTGAGGTGGGTTCTCATGAACTTTTTATTATCCATTCTGGCCTTGAACTGTGATCCTCCTGATCACTGCCTTAGTAGCCACTCTGCTCAGCCAGATCATTCTTACACAATACCATTCTTTAAGGGTGGGGGGATAGCATTTAGACCTAATTCCTGGAAAAATTTAGTTTAAATGAATGTTTTATGCTACTTGGGTTTTATTTCATTTACTTATTTAGTTTTGACTGAGTCTTGCTATATTATTCTGACAGGTCTTGAGCTCATGTGACCAAGCAACCCCCAGCCTCCTGAGTAGCTGGAAGAAAGCCTTTATTTATTTATTTTTGATGAAAAGGCAGCTATACGTGTATTCTTTTTTTTAACCCTTCAGTATTGTGCAAAATATCAAAACCACAAGTACAGTAATGAACTACAATTTACCTGTCACTCATATTTTAGCTACCGTAATCACTTATGTATAGTGTTTTTTTTCCATTTTCTTACCCTCTGTTTATTTTGAGGGAATTCCTAAACATATTTCATCCATAAATGTTTTAGTATGTATCTTTTAAAAATATTATTAGTATGTATCTTAACGTGATAAAGATCCTCTTAAAAAACTTAACCAAAATACCTACTAAGAGATAGGAAAAACCAAACCATTTTCCTACTTTCATATACTACCCAGTATTTCACTTTTAACTCAGACATCAAGTAATTCTTCTAAGAACATCAACTGGATTTCCAGTAACTCAATTTTGTTCTGACATTACCTACCTGGAGACAACACAGGACTACCTCCACTTAAGATGTTAATCATAGGTACCAAGGTGTAACTTGTGCCTCTGATTTACTGTCTGTCACTTGGGGGTTCCCATCACTCCCCTCCTTCTTTTGATAATTTGCTAGGGCCGCTCACAGAACTCAGGGAAACACTTTACTTAGGTTTACTAGATTATAAAGGATATTCTATAGGATACAGATGAGCAGGCAGATGAAGTGATACAGTGGGTAAGGTATGGGGTTCTGGAAGATTCAGGGCTTCTGTGCCCTGTCTGGGTGCAACCACCTCCCAGCCCCTCCACATGTTTAGCAATACTGAAGCTCATCAAATCTATTAGTTTTCAAGAGTTTTTGTAGGTGTAATCTCTAGACTCCTCCCCCTTTGCCCCATCTTTTCCCACAGCAGTCCCATCCTTATGTCATTTAGGGGTCCTACCCTAACTACCCTCAGTAGCATAGACTCTGCTGTGATCAAAAAGGGCTCCTAAATAAATAATAAAGACAATTCCTGTCATCCAGGAAATTCCAAATTTCAAAGGTTTGGGGGACTCCGACAGGAACTGAGGGCAAAGAGCAAAAACATTTCATGTTTTCACAATACCATTATCACATCTAAAAATTAATTTTTATAGCAAGCAAGATACAAAGATGTGCTGTTTGAGTCATATTTGCAAATACTTCAAACATTTAATTTCTGACCATTTTAGTGAATGATTATACTACCAAAGTATAGGTATCTTGTATTTACTTCTTTATGCATGTCATACAAAGTGCTTGAACACAGATTATCTTACATTCAGCTAGGTAAGTTTTAGAGTCCCCCAGTTTGAGAGTCTATATATATATAGATTCTCAATATATATTTGTGGAGATTGAATTGAATTTAAAACTATAATGCTACCTTAAAAAATAAAATCCTGCTTATTTGGAGAATATTCGAAAATGGCACAATCTATTTGAAAAGGCTTATGTAATTGGAGAACCTAGGCTTAAAAATCAGTCCCACATTCTACTAGCATTAAACTGACTGGGTTTTTAAATTTCTGATCTTTAATTTCCCTGTCAGGTGGATATGATGATTCACCTTAGAGGTTCTTGAAGTGATTAAAGTGTTGAGGCATAGTATTTTGTAAACAGTAGAGTACCTTATACATACCATTTTTAATTTTTGTAATTGTTCTTACTAAAGTAGGTACACATGCTACCTAAGAGGAATTTCAAGCAGTTATTAGGTTTTTACATTTAAAAAAATTGTTTATATGTGTATAAATGTGTATCCTACGCTGACCTGGAACTCACTATATAGTCTAGACTGGCCTCAAATCAAAATTCTTATGCTTATACCTCCTGAGTGCTGGGATTGTACCATCTCCTATGTTGTCCTGACATTTGTGGACAGATTAAATATACTGAACTTTCTTGATTTAGTACTGCATCCTTTGACTTGGAATGCTGTTTCTATGTCTGATCTAAACATATGAACTGAACTTGAACATATATTGGAAAGATCTACTTAACTTTAGCATGTACATTGAGAGCTCCAAATCCTAGCTACCAGACCACCATGGAGCATCTATCATGTGCATTGATGATGCTGTTTGGGATAATATGTAGGGGTATGGTAGCAATCACCATTTTGTGGGAAATTACTTACTATAAGTTGTTTTTGTGTTCTTGGCACAAGAATTATACTAGACTATGAAATTAAAAGTTGATATACAATTTCGCTGACAAATTCTAATACGAGAATTACTCATCTCATGATGGTATTGGAGTTTTTCCTTGGGCATTGAAATCAAACTTAAGAAAAATAAGACTTTACCCTTTAATAGCAAGTTTGTCTGTGTGTGTGTGTGGGGTTAATAAACTGTTCTGGCTACTAAATGCTCTAGCAGAAAGGATGAATTATTATAAATTCTCACTAAAATATGATTTGTGAAATGTCTGGAAATTTAACTTTACAAATTGTTTTTAAATGTTTCTTATATTCCTGAAAGTTAGTATGTTTGGGACAAATGAAAGATACAGAATTTTTTTAATTGTTCTAATATCAGAACAAAAATGGGGAAGAAAATTTTTCTGTTATTCAAGTACTTACTTTGGATGTGGCTATATATTAGATAGATTATGAACCTTTTCTATTACGTTACTGGAAAATGGATTAGAATTTAATGTCAGTGGATGATTTCAAGACTAAAAAGAGAAGTTGTAGAAATTTTAGAAATTAGATGAACTTTAGAATTTTTGTTTTTTATCTGAAACCTTTTTCCTCTATTTAAATGCTACCTTTTCCTATGAGCCTAGCTATGTCTCTTAGCTTTTTTTAGAGTGATTCCAGCACTTCTTTGGGCATTAATTTTTCCTTGCTTATGCTTCCATAATGTTTAAAGAAATATTATAAATAAATATTTCTCATGTCTTGAGGATAAAGCTTTGTTTTCATACATAAAAGTCCTAGCATGGTCCATATTAGTTACATCTCTAAATGTTGATGGAGATATGTGGGTGATACAGTTAAAATATTCTCATCTAATTTTTTACTTCTTAACATTTTGTTATTTAAACAGATTTAAAATTTAATGAGTTAGTATAAAATCGTATTTCTTCCTAGTTAAGTAGTTGCTGTACTGATTGGCTTTGAAATCTTCAACTGCTGAATTACATTCATTTGCAATTTGTGTGAAATTAGTTCAGATGGGACATGGTAGTTTTGGACCGTTTGCTGTTAACTTAGATAAAATTTGCAAACACATGGTGTGCTTTTACAGAAATGGCTATTTAAACTTGCTAACTATTTGAAAATAGAGGAAATGACTATGATAATAAAGTGAGGTGCTTGGAAGAATAAAGGGTGTTGGGGAGTAGGTTAATTCACTTTTGTTAAGGAAAGAGCATATAGAGTGTTTTCAGTGTCCTTGGTTCTACATTGGATAAGAATAAATAAGAATGAATGAAAGTCTTTTCTGTTAGGGCACTTAAAATCTGTTGAATTCTGTTTTGCTTTGTCAGCCCATAGTGAGAAAAAGAAATATTTTTTTTGTAAAATTTCTTCCCTGACTTTTTTCCCCCAGTAGCAGATGTCAAAAGAACATCTCTCACTTGAATATGTCGAATCATTGCTAGTCTAAGGAAAATTAATTTTTAAATAAAAAATCAGATCCTTTACTAGAATGAGACAAGTAAAATTTATAGTATCCTGTGGTGAGAAATCCTAGTTAGTGGGTGGGTCACAGTTTCTATATAGGTTGGTGTTGGTGTACAAGCAAGCAGTAAAGGCTATACATTGGAGGGAGAAGCAAGCTCACTATTACATAAGTTAGGTGATGCTTGCTGGATAATTTTACAGTCTCTGTAGACATTCTGGTCACATCAAAAGGACCCAGTTGTGGAGCCAGACTGTCACTGCAATAGCAACTAATACTTCTGTTAATTGGCAAATTACTTAATTTGTCAATGCTTTGAGTTCTTTAACTGTACAGTGTATTGATAATGCCATCTACTTGAGAGGTTGTTATGAAGACTAAAAGAGTTAATTTATAGAAAATGGATAAAACTGCTTTGCATATAGTAAGCTCCCCATATGTATTAACTGCTGTTATTTGTGTTCAATTAAGGCAGAAAGGTAAGATGCTTTTGGTTACTTGCAAAGAAATCATAGAAGATTATGCCTGTAATTCCACCTGCTTGGGAGGTAGAGATTAGAGGATTGTGGTTCAAGATCAGCTTCAGGGGAGAAAGTCAGGCTCCATTTTAATAAATAAGCTGGGCATGCCAGTATGCACTTGTGGCTCCAGCTAGTCTGGAGGCTATGGGTAGGAGGATCTTGGTCTACCTTATCTGAACAACAACTAAAGCAAAAAACAGACTGGGACATGGCTCAAGTGGTAGAATGCTTGCCTAGTGAGGGCCTGAGTTCAAACCCTAATACCACCAAAAAAACCACAAAAACAAAACTTAAAATTTAATATGACAATGATTCTAGAATGGTACTCTTCTAATTCCTGACATGAAGGGGTTTGTTTTTGTCCCTTTTTCTGCTTTGCCAGAGAGCTTTAAGGTATTGACTTTTCTTTTCTTTTCTTTTTTTGATGGTACTGAGGTTTGAACTCAGGGCCTCATGATTGCTAAGCAGATGTTCTACCACTTGAACCATGACCACAGCCTTTGTTGGTTTTTTGTTCCCAGCTGACTGTCCTCATGATCCCAAGTTGTCAGAAGTTTTAATTGTCATATTTAGGTGATCACATTTATAGTCAGCAAGGGGTACCGTTTGAATATTTCTGTTTTGTAGTGGAAGATGTATGTCCAGTACCCTCATATGCAGTAGTGTACAGCAAGTCATTTATAAAACAGCCATTGGTGGGGCATTGTGTTTTGACTTGGAATCAAATATCACCTTCTCCAGGGAGAATGTGCCTCTTAGCTGGAGAAAATTGTAGTTTTCTTACCAAGGAAAAAGAGGGAGCCGGGTGCTGGTGGCTCACAATTATAATCCTAGCTATTCAGGAGGCAGAGATCAGTAGGATCACAGTTTGAAGCCAGCCCAGGCAAATAGTTCGAGAGATCCTATCTTGAAAAAACCCTTCAAAAAAAAAAAAAGGGAAGGGGAATGGTGGTTAAGTATAAAGCTAGTAATTTTTGCCAAGGGAGGGGGAATTGACTGAGTGAGCCAGACGAGGTTAGGGGTCAAGCAGGCCCACTCTTCAATCTGGTCACTGTCACTGTGCTTCTGGTTTTTTTTTTTTGTTGTTGTTTAATTTTGGTTTTGTTTTTCTCCACCTCCTCCAGCATCATAGTGTAGGATTTTGACTCTTGACTCACATTAGTCCAGTGAAGAGAGAGAGAAAAAAAAAATCAACATGAACTAGAGCTGTATTATTGGCCTTAACTCCTCCTGCAGGGTTTTTCTCTTCCATGCTTGACATGAAAGACTAGTTCCTTATTGATATTTGCTGGTTATCTTCCTCATCTTTCAAGGCTAAGGAATACAGCATTCCAGATAATAAATTGCTAGTGTTTAACTTTTGGTGTATAGTATTGTATTTCATTATTAAATGAAGGAAAAAAATTAAAGGTTACCTTTTGTTATTTTATTTACTGATTTTTGCAGTTCCCATCTCATATCTTTGGTTATTGAGGATGATGGCAATTGAGAACCAAATGATTCATACAATTCTTAAGTGCCCTCCCCAAGAACCATGCTCCCCCAGCCCTCCATTTTTTTAATGTCGTGAAATACAATGTAAAATTTACTATCTAGACCATTTTTTTCCTAATATATTATAGGAAAGGTGAGTGGCAGCTACAGGTGTTGTTGTAACCTGAGCTGTCAAAGTCTCTCCAGGTGTCTCCTGCATGCAGTTGGAGATCCCGTGGCCACAACAAGCCATAGCCCTTGGAAGCATTCTGGATCTTAGCCATTTTTTTTTTTTTTTTTTTTACCTACTCTTCCCACACTTGCCATCCTTTACCCAACCCACACTTATGGCCTCATGGAAATGTCTGTATGAACAATTGTCTGAGGAGAAAAAGGGAAAACCTGGGAGCAGATGGATTGATATGAGATCAGCCATAGCTAGCAGCTATGGCTGCCCCAGTGGAAGCTCTGATAGATACAAAGAGCTTCTATGGTGTCTTAAATTCAGTTTGCCCAGGGGACATGGCTTGAGGTAAAGATCACTTGAGGGACAACTGCAACTGCTTAGCTAGATGGTTGAGAATACTTTTTTAATGGCACAACTTATGGCCCATCTCACCCCAAGAGCAAATATGGCTTGTAGCATGAGTCATACTGATTTACAAAGAGCCAGCATTTACATGAGAGAGCACACAGGTAAGAAGGAAGACTAAAGCACTGGCAACAAGATGCCTATAATATGGGAAGAGTATGTGGACGAATATCTTGAACAAAGAATAAGAGAGAGTATTGGGTTCCAGTTAAACACTTACTGGAGAGGAGACTTTAAAAATCAGGTAGACAAAGTCAGGCTTGGTGGTGCATACCTGTAATTCCAGCATTAATGAGGCTGACTTAGGAATTTGAGGTTAGCCTGGGCTACTGAGAGAGTTCAAGTCCAGCCTAGGCTATATATTGAGATACTGCCTCAAAAAAAATCAAGCTGACATGATAAATCACTCTATAAATCTGTATCTGACACTTTCTGCAGTGTCTAAGGCTTTTTTGGGGCTCATAAGTGACCAGATCTTAGCCATTTTTAAGTGTGTAGTGTTCTGTAACTTTTGCCACCATCGATACAACTTTCTTAATTTGTAAAACTGAAATCTGTGAACATTAAACAACAACTTCTCATTCTTCCTCTCCCAGCTCCTGGCAAACCACCATTCTACTTTCTATTTCTGATTGTGACCATTCTAGGTTACATAATACAGCTTACAGTTTTTGTATTGTCATGCAGTATTTATCTTTCTGTGACTAGTTTATTTCCATTATAGCATCCTGAAGTTTCATGCAAGTAGCCTATCGCAGAATTTCCTTTTAAAAGCTGAATAATAGAATAATGTTTCATTGTATGGATACACACACACACACACACACACACACACACACACACATCTACAAACACACAGCACATTTTGCTTATCCATTCATCTATAGATGGACACTTTGGCTGTTTCTACATTTTAACTATTTAAAATAAAGCTGTTATGAATATGGGTGTACAAATATCTCCTCAAGACCCTGCTTTCAATTTCAATTTTTCTTCAGTATTTACCCAAAAGTAGAATTGCTGGTCTGCCTGATAATTCTTTTTTTTTTTCATTTTTCTTTTATAATTCATATGTGCATACAAGGATTGGTTCATTTCTCCCCACTGCCCCCACCCCCTCCCTTACCACCCACTCCACCCCCTCCCTCTCCCCCCACCTCAATACCCAGCAGAAACTATTTTGCCCTTATTTCTAATTTTGTTGTAGAAAGAGTATAAGCAATAAAGGAAGGAACAAGGGTTTTTGCTGGTTGAGATAAGGATAGCTATACAGTCTGCCTGATAATTCTGTGTTTAACTTTGTGAGGAACTGCCATACTGTTTTCCATGGTAGTGGTGCCATATAAATTGTTCAATTTTTGCTGTTACTAGTAATGCTGTAAGTCAATTTTTTTTGTGACTAGGTTAATTTTTAGCCTAACACTGATTAATCTTAAAGTCTAACTGTTGGAAACTTAAAAAAATAATCTTTTCAGAAGCAAGAGAAAAAGAGGAAGAAATGAACAGAGAGAAAGAATTAAGAAGACAAAATGAAGATACTGAACCAACACCGTCAGGCTCAAGTGTAGTCAGAGGTTGCTCAAAGTCATCATCAAGGTGCCTGATTTTCTTTAAAAGGATTCTTTTAACTATCAGTTTCTAGGTGTTCATAACATAATGACATTAAAATCTTGTATGATTTCTCTCATTTTAGGCAACCTTGTATTCCTAGGTCATGTGTCAAATTTGGAATCAGTGGAATTTTTGAAAAATGTATTGCATATTTCCAGACATAATATTGAAATCTTTGCTTTGTGACTGCAAAACATAATCATATAAAGTTGGAGAGATGCTGATAGGCTTGAAATTTTTGTCATGTATATTTTAACATTTACACCTGCATTCATGATCTTTTATTTTTGGCTGTACTGGCGTTTAAACTTGGCCTCCACTTGCTAGGCAGGTGCTCTGCCACTTGGGTCACCCTGCGCAGCCCTGTTTTGTGTTTTTTGAGATAGGGTTTGATGAATTATATGTTCAGACTGGCTTTGAACTACAATCCTGATCTCTGCTTCATGAGCAGCTAAGATTACATGCCTGTGCTTAGCTATAATCTTTTTTGATAGGATCCTTTGTAGACATGGATTGTAGGAAGAACATAAGTGCGGGCACATTGTAAAGTCTACTAAGTTATATGAGAAAGCAGCCATCAAAATTACTTTAAGGCCTTGAGTTCAAACCCTAGTACAGGAAAAAATACTACTTAAAGGTGAAATTTAATATTATGTTACTTAATTATCAAGAACTCAAAAAACTTAAATAGGTACATAGATACTATAACTGGATGAAATAATATAAGAAATCTAATGTTTTGATTTTTTGGTTTGTTTTGACGTGTTGGGGATTGAACCTAGGGCCTCATGCATAATAATTAAGCCCTATACCACTGAGCTACATCCCCAGCCTTAGATATATTTTTGACATATTGGTGCCATAAAGTTTTTCATTGGTTAAATATAATATGCTGCACAAAATATAACATTGAATTCACTTCTGTTCTTGGTAGAAAAAATACAGAAAATATCAGTTATACTGTATAATTTCATTTTTTGCTTACCTGGTTTGTGGTGCAGATCTTTAGTATCCCAGTTGAGGTATTTGAGTAGAATCTGAACTCCATAATAATCTTGGTGTCTTCTACAGTTTGTTGCTGTAGGGAAGAGAAATGGGAGTACAACTCAGATTCTTCCTTTTTATAACAATGCTACCCCAATACTTGTGTAGTTTCTAGAGCATATGGTTATCTTTGTAAATATTGCTAAAGAAAAGGGGGTTAGCAAATTCTTATCAAAGACCAGATAGTGTTTTAGGCATTAAGGAGCCATACAATTTCTCAACTACTCAACTCTACTGTAGATAATATATAAAGGAATTGGTGTGACTATATTCCAATAAAATTTATTTATTTATTTATTTTCTCCTTTCATTTTATCGTTTTCACATTTACTTACAAGTGTATACACTGTTTGGGTCACCTCCCCCACCCCGCCCCAGCTTCCAGGCAGAACCTGTTCCACCCTCTTCTCTGATTATGTTGAAGCGAAAACATGAGATATTATAAGAAAGACATAGTGTTTTTGCTAGTTTGAGATTAAGATAGCTATGCAGAGAGATTCCTAGCGTTGCTTCCATGCACTTGTGTATTGCAACCCACACTAGTTCAATTCTACCAGACCTGTTTGCTACTTCCTGGCCCCCTCTCTATAGTGGCCTCTGCCAATTTAAGATTACTTTATTTGCTCCTCAACAGGGAGCACATCAATCACATTCAAGTTTTAGGTTTTCTTTCCTTTCCCTATTTCTCCCGTGCATGTTCTCCTCTTAATGTGTGACCCATGTCCAGTAATATTAATGCATTTGTTTTGGGTCTATAATCTGTATATGAGGAAGAACATGCAGTTTTTGACCTTCTGAGCCTGACTAACTTCACTTAACATGATGCTCTCTGGTTCCATCCATTTACCTGCAAATGACAAAATTTCATCCTTCTTTGTGGCCGAATAAAATTCCATTGTGTATAAATACACATTTTCTTGATCCATTCATCAGTTGTGGGGCATCTTGGCTGTTTCCATAGCTTGGCTGTTGTAAATAGTGCTGCAATAAATATGGGTGTGCAGTTGCTTTTGTAATAACTTGAGTCACATTCCTTTGGGTGTATCCTTAGGAGTGGTATTGCTCGATGATACCGCAGAGCTGTATTTAGTTTTTTAAGGAGCCTCCATATTGTTTTCCAAAGTGGTTGTACTGGCTTGCATTCCCATCAGCAGTGCATAAGGGTTCCTTTTCCCCCCGAATCCTCGCCAGCATTTGTTGTTGTTGGTGTTATTGATGATAGCCATTCTAACAGGTGACGTGGAATCTTATTGTGGTTTTATTTGCATTTCCTTTATAGCCATGGATGGTGAGCATTTTTCATGTGTTTTTTGGCCATTTGGATTTCTTTCGTAGAAAAAATTCTGTTTTGTTCAGGTGCCCACTTTATTGATTCATTGATTTTTGGGGAGTTTAGTTTTTTGAGCTCTTGTATATTTTAGTTATCAGTCTTTTGTCTAATGTATAGACAGCAAATATTTTCTCCCACTCTGTAGGTGGTCTCTTCAATTTAGAGACCATTTCTTTTGTTCAGAAGATTTTTAATTTCATGTAGTCCCATCTGTTCATCCTTTCTCTTAGTTGCTGGGCTACTGAAGTTTTATTGAGGAAGTCTTTGTCTATACCTGTTATTTCCAGGGATTTCCTGCTCTTTCATGTACTAACTGCAAGGTTTCAGGTCTGATATTAATGTCCTTAATCCACTTTGAGTTGATACTAATATGTGGTGACAGGCATGGATCCAGTTTCAGTTTTCTGCAGGCAGATAGCCACTTTTCCCAGCAACATTTGTTGAAGAGGCTGTCTATTCTCCATTGTATGTTTTTGGTGCCTTTGTCAAAAATAAGGTGGGCATAGCTGTGTGGATTCATATCTGGGTCCTCTATTCTCTTCCACTGGTATTCATATCTGTTTTTGTGCCAGAACCATGATGTTTTTATTGCTCTGTCTCTGTAGTATAGATTGAAGTTGGGTATTGTGATACCTCTGGCATTGCTTTTTTGACTATTTGCAGTCTCTTGTGTTTCCAAATGAACTTTAGGGTAGGTTTTTCAATCTCTGTGATGAATGTCATTGGAATTTTGTTGAGTTGTGTTAAACATGTAGATTGGTTTTGGTAGTATAGCCATTTTTACTATTTTGATTCTGCCGATCCATGAGCATGGGAGATCTTTCCATCTTCTCTGTAGTCTTCCTTGATCTCTTTCTTCAGTGGTTTGTAGTTCTCCTTATAGAGGTCATTTATATCCTTTGTTAAATTTACTTCTAAGTATTTGATTTTTTTGAGGCTATTATAAATGGAATTGTTTTCCTATATTCTTTCTCAATTTGTTGATTGTTGATGTATAGAAAGGCTACTGATTTTTGTAAGTTGATTTTGTATCCTGGTACACTGCTGAAGCTGTTTATGGTGTCTAGAAGTTTTTGGGTGGAGTTTTTTGGGTCTTTGAGGTATAGGATCATGTTGCCTGCAAACGGGGATATTTTGACTGTTTCTTTACCTATTTGTATTCCTTTTATTTCTTCTTGCCTTTTTGCTCTGGCTAGGGATTCCAGGACTATGTTGAATAGGGGTGGAGATAGTGGGCACCCTTATCTCATTCCTGAGTTTAGGGGGAATGGTTTCAGTTTTTCCCCATTAAGTATGATGTTGGTGATAGGTTTGTCATATATAGCCTTTACAATGTTGAGGTACATTCCTTCTGTTCCTAGTTTTCTTGGAGCTTTTATCATGAAGTGGTGTTGAATCTTATCAAAGGCTTTTTCTGCATCTATTGAGATGATCATGTGTTTTTTTGCCTTTGCTTCTATTGATGTGCTATATTGCATTTATTGATTTGCATATGTTGAACCATCCCTTCATCCCTGGGATAAAGCCAGCTTAGTCATGGTGAATGATCTTTCTGCTTTGTTGTTGGATTCGGTTTGCCATTATTTTATTGAGGATTTTTGGAATCGGTGTTCATTAAGGAGATTGACCTGTAGTTCTCCTTTTTGGATGTGTCCTTGTCTGGTTTTGGGAGGAGTGTAATACTGGCTTCATAGAATGAGTTAGGCAGTGTACCATCCCTTTCTATTTTGTGGAAAAGTTTAAGGAGTGTTGGTATTAGTTCTACCAAGCTCTGGTAGAATTCAGCTGAGAATTTGTCAGGTCCTGGACTTTTCTTTTTTTGGGAGACTCTTTATTGCTGCTTCAATTTCATTACATCTAATAAAGTTTAAAAATAATCAGTAAGCTTGTTAGGTAACCCTTGCAATAGCATGTCATTTCATATTTATTTTTCTTGTGCTGGGGATCGAACCCAGGGCTTTGTGCATGCTAGGCAGATGCTCTTCCATTGAGCTACATCCTCATTCCATCCTTTCTTTCTATACAGTTTATGTGTATATATATAGTTTGCATTATGTATTGTTTCATATCCATTGGTAATCTCTCAATGTCCTTGGTTTCAATATGATAGGAAAGAGAATCTCTCCTTTTTCTTAAAGTATTTAATATTTACATTAGTTTCCTACTTTTGGCATGATTTAAGATGTCAAAAGCGCCAACACAGTGGTTGTGGGAGACTTTAACACCCCATTATCATCAATAGATTGATCATCCAAACAAAAAATCAATAAAGAAATCCAAGATCTAAAATATGCAATAGATCAAATGGACCTAGTAGATGTCTACAGAACATTTCATCCAACTTCTACACAATATACATTCTTCTCAGCAGCCCATGGAACCTTCTCCAAAATAGATCATATCCTAGGGCACAAAGAAAGTCTCAGCAAATACAAGAAAATAGAAATTATACCGTGTATACTATCTGATCACAATGCAGTAAAAGTAGAACTCAACAACAAAAGTAAAGACAAAAAACATGCAAACAGCTGGAAACTAAATAACTCATTACTTAATGAAGAATGGATCATCGATGAAATAAAAGAGGAAATTAAAAAGTTCCTGGAAGTGA